CTACCGGCTCTCCTGGGTCTCCAGTTTGCAGACAGCAGATTATGGAATTTCTCAATCTCCAAAATCACATGAGCCAATTCCTTATAATAAATCGTTTTATATACATACACACAGAAACACACACACAAACAAACACACATCTTCTATCGGCTCTGTTTCTTTGGAGACCCCAATATAATATCTAAGAAATAATATACATACAAAATTTAAATCAAACGATAGGCAGAAAATACAGTATCAAAATCCTATATTTTAGATATTAAGAGGTTAATTTTGCTTTGTTTAGTGACTTGAAATATAAACTCATATGACTACTACCTTCTCAATGAAGCCTTAACTGACACCTTTCCCCTAGAGTGAATGGGAAGGTTACACATTTGCAGTTCCACTGTACCTTATATCGACTTTAGATACATGATTATATTTAACAGCTTTGTACTGAATGATCTGTTAAGGCATTCTTTCCTCTCTTTAGTAGAAAGCAAAGTCCTTGAAGGTAGGGATCAGATTATACTTATCTATGCATCCCTAGGGCCTAGCACAGTGCTCACAGACTATCAATAAAATACCTAACTCACCTTGGAATGGAGTAAATTCTGTGATCAATTTTTTTTAAGTCACATAGTAACTCCATGGGAAAGTCTAGAGGTAGATAGACAATCATCTCTCTTTCATTAAAGCAGTGGTTCTTAAAGTGGCAGGTGGTGGGGCTGTACCTTCTCAAGACATTTGGCTATGTCAGGAAATATTTTTGTTTGTCACAACTGAGGAGGGTCCTAATATTATCTAGTGGTAGAGGTCAGGGATGCTGCTAAACATCCTATAAAGCCCAGGACAGGCCCCCACAACAAAGAAATATCTAGCACAAAATGTCAGAGTGCCACCTAGGGTGGGAAACTCAGCATTAGAGGCATGTAACTGAGCTAAGTAAGTAGGAGACATAAACTTTCTCCCATCACCCTCCTAAACAATCGCTCTCCTAAACAATCAAAGTTTAACCTTAAAGCAAAGAAAATATCAATAGCATCAATTTACAAGTGTATAACAATTTGTTTAGCATTTGGCAACCTGAGGGCTCAAGGTCACAGGGGCTCAAGTTAGTGATAGGCTGAAGTCTTACTCTGAGCCAAACACTCTTGAATACCTTCTTCTTAACTCCTAGCCCACTCATTCACCATTTAATCTGAATCTCAGTAGTTACCTGCTCACTGCTCCCTCATATTAATTCAGTTTCTGTGCCTAGACATGATCACCCATGTCAATAGATCTCTTTCCTACAGAGTTGTTTTGGTAATAATGTTATTTTTATGATTTTCTTTAATTCATTTGCGTGGCTTAGCTCTTATTTTTCACCTTAGTCATTTTTAAAATATTAATTCTAATCTTGGTTAAAGACGTGTTGCAACATAGCCTGATTGAAAGATAATCAAAGAGCAGCATCCTTAACAGTTAAAAGCAGAAAAAAAGAAAAAAAGAAAAACAAAAAAACAGCTGTGACCTTCCCCTTTTCCTTTTTAGTTGGGCCCTAAAAGACATTCCAAAGACCCTGCTCCTAGAACAGCCTTCTGTGGTCAACACAACCTCTTGGAGTTTTTACTGCCTTTGGCACTCTCAGGTTGCCCTAGTCTCACTCACTCTCCTTTCTGTTACCTTGATGTGGAATACATGTAGACCATCAGACATATGGCAGAATAATTGGATTTTAGGCAAGCCAACATGGGAAACAGAAGGCAAACCTGGTCAGTTGTGGGTATAAATAGGGCAAAGAAAATGAAATGTGAAAAAACACAATATAACTAACCTGTAGGCAAGCTGAGGCTGAAGGTAATTTACCAGGTGGAACACCTTTTTAAGAAAAAGCCAGCTTTGACTATGTTGCACTGCTCTTATTTCCAGAAAAGCAGAAGTAGGAGAAAGAAGAAAGGGAGGGAGGGATGAAGGAAGGAAGGAAACAAGGAGAAAGAGAGGGAGGGAGTAAAAGCGAAAGGGTAAAGGAAATGAGCATTTATTGAATACCTACTACACACAACATAATACTATATACTCTGCCATTAACAAATGTCATTTAATCCTCACAATAAGTTGTGTAGAGTAGGTAATATCGTCTCCATCTGTCAGATAGGGAAAGTGAAGTTCAAGAGATTAAGTAAATTGACCAAAATTACATAGCTGGGATTTGAACACATATTTGTCTGACCCCAAAATCCAGAAAAAAAGAAAGGGGGTAGGTGCTGGGAAGAAATTTTTTTTAAATGTGTTAAGAAAAATCATTTTGGGAACATGGCACCAGACACAATAGGACACTGAACTAAGATATGATATAAGATTGTTCTTCCTAAAATAGGATATCTGATCTCTTTACCTGCTCCATAATGTTTCCTTAAAGAAAACAAAAAACTAGATAATATGTATTCCTTTATTTCCTCTGCAAATAATTGTGGAGCACTAACTGTGAGTAAGGAACTGTGCTAGTAGCCCTTGAAGTGTGAACAAAGAATAAAACTTAGTCTAATAAAGAAGAAAAGTAAGCATAAAATTGCAATACAGTTTTATAATACTATAACTTTTCAAAGTATGGGAACAAGTAAATATTGACAATGAGGGATGTCAGACTTTCTAGTTGAGACTTAAGGCATAAGTAAAGGAAGTTAAAGCACCTTTATTCTACAGTAAGAAGTTAGAAGTCAACATTAAGATTGGAGGAGCTGCACACATGCACACACAAACATACACACTCAAACAATACTCTAATTCCAGGCCATCAATGGAAGACTTCTGTCACTCCATCTGCCATGATATTCATAGACAACAGAGAAAATTCCAGAGCTTGTGGTGAAAAGCAGCATTGAACTAAAAGGCAGATCTGAACTTCAATCTAGGCTTGCCTAAACGCTGCTTATGTGACTTTGGGAAAGTAACTTTAACTGCTTTGAGCCTAAATTTCCTCATCTGCAAAGGAAGTTAAGGTAATCATTTCTGAAGTCTCTCACTTTTAACACTCTCTGTAGTTACAATTCTAATGACTATTCAACTATATATCATAGCTTGCTAATCAGAAATTTGGTTGATAACTATCTTAGAACTTTAGACTTATACATTATAATGACTATTTTAAGTGGCATCATTTAAAAATTATACTGGGCCCAAGTCACATGAATTTCACAATCAATATTGAAGAAGGTAAGAAAAACTAACATCATAAGTGGAAATATATCAGCTTTTGAAAAATTCCAAAATGAAGTTCTGAGGGGAAAAAAAGAACATGTTTAAATATAGTATTGAGAGCCTTCTAAGCCAGATCCAAATGTCATTAGTATCTCTAAATGAAAAGAACTATTAAAATATAGAATTTTCCCATCTTATATTATATTATCTGATTTCCTATAGAGCAGAAAAATAGCAAGACTAAAAGTTAGAAAAGCTGAATTTCAGTCTTAATAATATTTCATTCATATGCCAACCTTTTTAAAAGTATCAATATGGGCCAAGCATGGTGGCTCACACCAGTAATCCTGGCACTTTGTGAGGCTGAGGCAGGAGAACTGCTTGAGGCCAGGGGTAGGAGACCAGCCTATGCAATATAGTGAGCTCCTGTTTCTACAAAAATTAAAAATTAGTCTAGTGTGGTGATGTGCCTGTTGTCCTAGCTACTGGGAAAGCTGAAGCAGGAGGATCACTTGAGCCCAGGAGTTAGAGGTTATAGTGAGCTATGATCATGCTACTGCATTCCAGCCTGGGCTACAAAGAGACATCCTAGCTCTTTTTTTTTTTTTTTTTTTTTGAGACAGGGTCTTGCTGTATTTCCCCAGCTAGAGTACAGTTACACCTGAGCTAGTTTTTCTATTTTTTCGTAGAGACAGGGTCTTGGTATGTTGTTCAGGCTGGTCTTGAACTCCTGGGCTCAAGCAATCCAACCCTCTCAGCCTCCCAAAGTGCTAGGATTACAGGCATGATCCACTGTGCCCAGCCTACCCTCTTTAAAAAAAAAAAAAAAAGTGTGACTATGTCAAATATAAAATGACATTCAAAATTATCATGAAATCATCAAGTGATATGTAAATTGATAGTAAACAATAAAAACTCTATGCTTTCTCATCTTTAGAAACAGAAAAAATAACAATTTCAAATTTTCCCTGCCTTTTGAAGATTAATGAGCTGATGTTTCAACAGTTTTATACCTTGGAAGAAAACTAATAAAGCAACAGAAAAAGGCAGAGGGAATATGGTGTCCTTTTGTTATCATGTTAGTAAAAAGGAAAGATTATTAAATTAACAATGTTAACTAATAGCAACCTGAAAATAAAGTTGGTTTTTCAAGATACAATACAATTTCCCCCTGATTTCAGTGAAAGATAAATAAAAGGATAAATGCAAATATGTAAATTCATTGACAGTTCTTAAAATTATACTTGGCATTATAGCTCTGTAGTTATTAATGCAACCATTTTCAATTAATGACTATGTTAACCAAGACTAGCCCAAAACAAGAAAGTAATTATATCAAAAGAAGAAATAAAGGCAGGGAAGGAGGAAAGAAAAACATATCTCTTTGAGTAGTACAGAAATAATTCCAGAGTAATGCAATTTAAACATTCCAAATGCAGACATTTAGGCACTCACTAAAGACTAACTCCAGATCCACAGTGACATATCCTCTGGAAAATAATTTGCCTAAGGGCAGTCTTTCATACTTTATTCACACACACACATCCCCATCCTGTATTTTTAAATCAGAAATTTTCCTGTCCAAAGCATATCAGATTTCAGTGTTTCAAAAACATCTCAAGGCTCTGACCCAGAAGGTACTTATTCCCTGTGAATCATGAAACCAACATTTTTACTACAATAAAAAGTTTTGATGAGTTGGACAGTTCCCTATTTGAAACCTTAATAAATAAAAAACCTTAATAGTTAATTTGATTATCCAGAAATATGAGTCATATTATAGATTATTCAGATATGGTCTGGAAACTCTTAATATTAATAGGAAAAAGCAGTACCTGTTCTAAGCTGTATCTGTCTGTGGGTTTCAGCTCACTGGCAGGCACCAGCACTCTTCCATTCACTTGCATAATTTTTTTAAATCTGCATTATAAAATTCATTCATATATTCATTTAACAAATAATTATTAAACACTTACTAAGTGCTAGGAACCAATAGACAGATTTAGTAGTCTTCACTTTCAAGAAGTTTACAGCCTAATTTCATATTTATGTGTAAATGTATCATCAATAAAGAAAGACTAGGACAGAAAAAAAAATGATGCTTGAAATATAAGCCTTAGAAGTTCTTGTCAAAGGAAGATAATTTAGCATCACTTTTTTCGTACCTGTTTCCTTAGAACTCTAGCTATTACATATCTGACCTATAGACGAAGTTTCTGAGATTTTATAATATTATTCCAAGATAATACTAGTAAGATTTAGAGCTAACATCAAATATTCTAATATTCAATTATTAAAAGTCCCTGGATATATTAAGAGCAAATTCACTCTCCCTTTTGTGGGCCACACTTAACTTTTAGACTCAGATGCCACTGGTTCTCTTTAACCTAAAGAGATAGTTCAACACAGTAAACACACACACACATGCACACACAATGATGTCCATTAGACCATTATATTTGCACAGAAAATTCAGTTAGTTATGCTTGTTATGTTATAGAAATGCAATTGAATATCATCAAACCATTAAAATTATGAATAATATATAAAAATATAGAGAAATATATATAGTTGATTCACTCTATAAATATTCATTTAGCATCTGTGATATACCCAGAATTATACTTGACATTTTGAATTAAAGGATAAATATCACACAATCAAGACCCTCAAATTGCTGGGTATCTAGGAAGAACCTAAAGAGGTAAATGTAAAATAGGTACATGGCAAACCTTAGGCAGTCAAGATGGCAGTCCCTTTTATTGCAATCCCATAAAACTCAGGTCCAATTCCAGGCATACAACGACCTATGCAGAGCCAAGTTTGATCCAGAAAAATTAATCTGAGATGCAGAAAGACTGGAAGCAACCCTAGGAAAGAGCTGAATTCTAGCCAACTGGCTTAGGAATGGGACACTGCTCTCTCAGGCATCAAAGCACAGGTTGGTTGGCCTTAAACTAACCAATAGTGTTGCCAGAACAGGGGGAGACAAGAGTAGACTAGGGCTACACTCTGACTCTGGGATGGTAAACCACTGACTGATTTCAGATCAGGTTTTTGGTTCCTTTTGCTTCAAGGCAGAGGTAGAGCTGAAGACCCACAGGAAGACTGAGAAAGAAGATGGATGTGAAAACTCCACTTTTTAAATCAATATAAAAGCACTAATAGAGGTATATGTAAGATGTTATGGGTGCTACAAGGAGGAAATGGTGGTACTCAGAGGAGAAGATGGGAGAAGTTTTACAGAAAAGTGACATTTGTACTGATTTTAAAGAATATATAGGAATTTTCAGAATTACACACAAAAACACATCGCCCCCCACACACAAACCCAAACAACAACATCATGAAGGCAGAGAAACATAAAAGAATGGGATGTGGCCCCCAGTATTTAGTTTGGTGGGATCATTAAGATTAGTGTGGATGTGGAAAGTGGTGGGAAATGAAGCTGGGAAAGTAATCATGGGTCAGATCCTAGCCTTGTATGCATTGCTATGCAACTTTGATTTTATCCTGTATAGCTAACAGAAAGCCATTATTGGATTTTAGGGATGTGAAATGATCAGATTTGTCTTTTAGGAGTATCATATTTGCAGTAGTGTAAAAATAAATTGGAGGAGATCTAAGGCTAAAGCAAGGAGACCCGTTAGTGCAGAGGTGATGTAATCTGTACTAAAAATGATGAACACTGAATTGTATCTGTGGCAGTGGAGATAGAGAAACATAGATACTTAGGATCAATAACAGTGACTGACTTAATTGGGTTGAGCAGAGGCCTGGAAAGAGGACATGAGGGAAAAGGTGGAATCAAGGATTCTCAGCTTACAGACAGCAAACAGATGGATAAAGATTCTATTACATAAAATCACAACTATGGAAAATTATACATGAACAAAGACTAGGTGGTAACCTACAAAAATGAAGGGGGCAAAAAGTTTAGCTAGGATGGTAGGACCCATTTGTTTCCCAAAACTTCTTCAGTGTTATGTTGTTTGTACAGAATTGTTTGGGGCTACATCTAGTTTTAAATACTAACTTTGCAAATTAGTAGTTTATGACTTTGAGTAAATTATTTAACCTTTGTGAACTGTCTCACCCAATATTTGTTTATAATTCATCTTGTTTCAATGAATATTTAAAGTAGTTTATAAAAATGCATACAATCCAGCAAAACAAAGTAGTCATGCACTACTTAGCAACATTTTGGTCAACAACAAACCAACGACAAACCACATACATGATTGTGGTCCCATAAGATTATAATATTGTATTTTTACTGTACCCTTTCTATGCTTAGATACACAAGTACTTACCATTGTGTCACAACTGCCTACAGCATTCAGTACAGTAGTATGGTATGCAGGTTTGTAGCCTAGGAAAAATAGGCCCCTTGCACAATGAAATTGCCTAATGACACGTGTCTCACAATGTAGTCCTGCTGTTAAGTGATGCATGACTGTACTTGAGGGGAAAGAGACGATGAGGGGAAAGAATAAAGACATGAAAAACAAAATGAAATCAAGTGAATAACTTATGACAACATAGTCTGGACTAAGAAGTGAGCTCAAATTCAGTCTGAGTTTCCTGTCTACCCATAGGTGGAAAAGCAAGTTCCATAACTCACATAGTCCACTGTTAGGTAGCAACATTTCAGAGAAACGTCTCCATCAGATCTTCATAATGCAGATTCTTGGCAAAATAGTGATCAGTACAAGAAATAACATCTTTGAACTTCATACAATGTCAAGTTTCTCAATGCCAGTCAGTGTTATAACTGCTAAGTGCAAATCAGCAAAAGCACTTCTGTGGGGACCAAAATAACACAAACTGGGTAAAGAGCTATCTCAAGGTCTGGCTGATTCCAAGAAAAAGTTTTAGCATATCTCAAGCAATGAAAAGACTGCATCTTTATTCTGGAAATCTCTCATAAATAGCCCTCTCATAAAGATCACTCAAGGACACCATCTAACCACCTTCCCAGTCCCCACTAGTTTTCTGATGATTCCTGAGAAACTGGTCTGACAATAACAGTTCTCAAAATTCTCAGCCTTAATACATACAAAAACTCCATTTTCAGAAATACAAGATTCAGCATAAAACCTCACTAAACATGGCCAACTGAAGGAAAAGAAGTCTGGACTCACAAAAATTCTAAATATTCAAGAGGTATCCCAGTCCTTTAATATAACATAAACAATTAGCTGGTGATATTACACATTAGACTATCTCAAAGATTTGTTTTAGTAAATGATTATTCTAATTAGTATACTTTCCTACCATTTAATGCTGTCAAAAACTCAAAAATGGTTTGTTTTCCCAAATAAGTTAAATGCCTCTCCTTTGACTCATATAAACTTATTTATAATCTACTAATTTGCCTACTCTTCAACATACCCACGGTTAACTCAGAATCAGGTAGTGAGAATTTACAGAAGTTAAAACATTAGAAGTCTTGATCTTAGAATTGGTAAAGTGAAGGTTATGTCCTCCTTTTTTATCTTTGTGATGTTTCTATAGATTACTAAATAAAAGTTTGTGAGAAGTGTGACAATTATTCAATGCAGCTTCCATAAAATTTGAAAAAGTATACGTTTTAATGTAAGACTCTCTTAGTGGTAAAGAAGCATGAGGGAAGAGTGGATTTCCAAGCTATTCTTTATAATTTCAAGCCTATCATATCTCACACAGCTAAGATATCCCTAGACACATCTTTTTATGATCAAACCTTTTTTTAACAATACAATGGTCCTCCTTGAGTCACCAATACACTTTCACTGAAGGAAAGGTGTTAAATCAGCAAAATCAATGTCATTGCCATTGGTAAAGAATGAGATGACATTCTGCAGCCAAACAGAAGCAATGTGAATAAACGGCTAACATGAATAAGGAGAAAAAAAGAACTTAATTCAAAGTGAAAGACATTGTTAATACTAGAAATGGTGAAGTATGAATGCTCAGTAAGTAGCTTTTACCTTACTTAAAAATTTTATGCCTTTTGGTATGCTTAAACTTATACCTACAGAATGCACATAGTCATAGGCTAACCTTAAAATAACTTTTGATTTTTTTTGTAAGACAAACCTGGAGAAATAATAAATTTTTAATAAAATATCAATTTAAAATTTTTATTTTTGTCTTTATGTTTGAACACTGAAACAATCAATGAGCTACAAAATTTATATAAAGAATCTGTCCTTCAAGTTTTTAAAATACATGGATATTAAATTGCTTCTTTTATTTATTTTTATGTTGAATATGTCAGAGGCTATTAAATTGCTTCTTTTAAAACTGGGTTTTAAAATTTTGATCCTACAAGAACATTTTCACTCAACAAGCACTTAGGACCAGTCATGAGTTTCCTCAGAGCCTCCCTTATCAGATAAAGCACACCTAGAAGGTAGAGTTATTAAGCGTGCAGCTCTCCTCTAAAATCCTAATGGCCAAAAAAAGCTTCAGAAAAGATGCCCCAGAGGCTGCCCCTCCTTTCACATTAAAGAGCTATAGAAGAGTCAGAGCTTAACAAGTAACCCTATTCTTGATCCTTTCTTTCACACAGTTGTCAGAGAGATGCAGAACAGAAATCAGCAATGGGAAATTGTGATTCCTCGATTGAACAAGACATTTTTCCCCATGACTTTAATGTTCCTCTAATGTCATGGTTCCTAATTGAAAACTACTGAAGGTTATAAAACCATTATATACTATGGAAATCCAGAGAAGGAAAGAAGGGCAAAGAGGCAGCAAAGACAAAAAAAAAAGAAAGAAAGAAAGAAAGAAAGAAAGAAAGAAAGAAAGAAAGAAAGAAAGAAAGAAAGAAAGAAAGAAATGTCTTTATTTTGAACCCTAATTATTTATTAAAAGGTGTGCCTCATCTAAACATAGAACAATGGGATAGATGAAGCTCACCTTAGGGTCCCTTT